GGCATGCAGCTTCTAAATATCCATAAAGGTGGGGCTTTTCAAGGAGAATAAGAGATCTTCTATAATTAGGACTTATACACATGTTTCCTATTTTACTTGAATTCAAAGATACAGTTCGACCCCACTAAAATGGAATTATTGCTTGTTTACCAATTTTGTGCCAGATCCTATTGAATTTCTTGTCAGTATGCATGATTTTGTTTTTTCCTTTATTGTTTTCTGGTTTGTTTTGATTGCCCACTTAAATAGAGTAAACTAGCCATTTTTGTTTTTTGTTGTTTGGGTTACAATAGTAGTTCGCTGTTTTGAATGTTGTGAATGCTGCTGCTCTTTGGGCAGAGGTAAGTCTAAAAATTTCATCAGGGTCGAAATTAAAATATGCTGAATATTGTTGTTCTGATATGCAGATAGATCATTGTCGAAGAGGAGAATCCAGAAAGACAAGAAGTAGAAATGGCTGGCGATATGAAGGTTCTGAATGCGCTTGATACGGCCAAAACACAATGGTATCACTTCACAGCAATCATAATTGCTGGCATGGGATTTTTCACTGATGCCTATGATCTGTTTTGCATCTCTCTAGTCACTAAGTTGCTCGGCCGCATTTACTACCATGTCGATGGCTCTCCAAAGCCTGGGAGTCTACCTCCTAACGTCTCAGCTGCTGTCAATGGCGTCGCTTTCTGTGGTACCCTTGCGGGGCAACTCTTCTTTGGCTGGCTCGGTGACAAAATGGGCAGGAAAAAAGTCTATGGCATGACCCTTATGCTCATGTGCTTATGCTCAGTTGCTTCAGGTCTTTCTTTTGGTAGGGAGCCTAAGACTGTCTTGGCCACCCTTTGCTTCTTTCGCTTCTGGCTTGGTTTTGGAATTGGTGGTGATTACCCGCTTTCTGCTACTATTATGTCTGAATATGCCAACAAGAAGACTCGGGGCGCCTTTATTGCTGCTGTTTTCGCTATGCAAGGATTTGGGATTTTAGCAGGAGGTATCTTTGCCATCATTATTTCTGCTGCATTCCAGGCAAGTTTCAAGGCGCCGGCTTATGAGGTCGATGCGCTTGGCTCAACAGTTCCTCAAGCTGACTATGTGTGGAGGATCATATTAATGGTTGGAGCAGTTCCTGCTCTTCTCACTTACTACTGGAGGATGAAGATGCCTGAAACCGCTCGTTACACTGCTCTTGTTGCCAAGAATGTTCAGCAGGCAACTGCAGATATGGAAAAGGTTATGCACGTTGACATTGGGGCGGAGCAAAAGGAGCCTGCAGTTTCTGCTACCACTGCTGTAAAGTCAAGCAATGAATTTGGTTTGTTCACAAAACAATTCGTTAGTAGACATGGACTTCACTTGCTTGGCACAACCAGCACATGGTTTCTGCTTGACATTGCATACTACAGCCAAAATCTGTTCCAGAAAGATATCTTCAGTGCCATTGGATGGATTCCTGCTGCCAAGACAATGAATGCAGTTGAAGAGGTTTACAAAATTGCAAGGGCGCAAACTCTAATCGCTCTCTGCAGTACCGTGCCTGGCTACTGGTTCACAGTGTTCCTCATTGACAGGATTGGAAGGTTTACCATTCAATTGCTTGGTTTTGCAATGATGACGGTGTTCATGTTTGCTCTGGCCATTCCTTACAACCACTGGACTCACCCTGGCAACCATATCGGATTCGTGGTTCTCTATTCACTGACCTTCTTCTTTGCCAACTTTGGACCTAATGCCACCACATTCGTCGTGCCAGCTGAGATTTTCCCTGCTAGATTGCGCTCGACTTGCCATGGAATATCAGCTGCATCTGGGAAGTTAGGAGCAATGGTGGGTGCTTTCGGGTTCCTGTATTTGGCTCAGCCACAAGACAAGACTAAGGCTGATGCAGGATATCCTGCTGGAATTGGGGTGAGAAATTCCCTTATCGTCCTTGGCGTAGTCAACCTTCTGGGAACATTTTTAACTTTCTTGGTTCCAGAATCAAAGGGGAAGTCACTAGAAGAGATGTCAAGAGAAAATGAGGACTCAACTGAGGCAGGAGCAGAGGTGGAGACTCATCCATCTAATAACAGGACTGTTCCTGTGTAAAAGTAGTTACTCTTTTCATTGCTTTTTTCTTTTTTTCCTTTTTATGTTCTGCAAAGGTCCTGCAAGGATGGATAAGGTCTATGTTCTTTCGACTAGTACTATAGTTTCTTAAGTTCAAGCTATTACCTCCAAGTGTAGAGATAGTTTCATGTATCTGTGTAATTGTCAGCAATTATGGAGTTCTATCGTACAATGTATTAATGGCATATCGTCCTGGTAATATATTTTTATGCAGTCATAAAGAGTTCCAAATATTAGTTTAGTACATCATAGAAGTCCCCAACAGTTTATGCTCCTGAAAAACAAAATCTGAAAAAGAAATGTAGTTTTTAGAGGTTTGAAGGACATCTATCTTAACAAATTAGTTTCCCTGCAATTTCTCTAACTCTTGCTTCGATTTCACCATATGGTGAGACGAGTTTTCTTTAGCTTTATGTCAAAAAATTCAATTCTACTTCAACATAGTTTGGATTGAACTAGAGCACTTCAAACATTTTTAACTATATCCATGATTCAATGGGTGTAAAGAATGTTGTAACTTGTGAGTTCATAGTTTTAAGAGGGAAACTTGGCAGTTCCTATTAAGAAAATGCGTTTTCATTTTGCCAGTTTGCAACATGACATCTTAACCAAGTAGCAGAGTTCCTCAACATGCAAATTTCAACCAGTTTGCCGACCACAAGTACAACAAAAAGAAAGAAAAATTAATAATATTGCAAATTCTAACTTTTCATCCTTGTCTACAGCAATATACTTTATTACACAAGCTATCATGTTACAAATCTTTATTAACATAACAGTAGGCATGTTAACTCACTTTCCTAGAAGACAATTTTACTTCAAATGCTTGTCGATTTCTACTCTTAGTTAAAAAAAAAACTGAACAATTTGATAAGGAAATCCAATACCTGATAGTGCTACTAACTTGACGTGACTCCAGCATGTAAGACTTAAACCATAATCCTTAATTTGAAGAGAAGTGGAGAATAAGGATTAGAGAGGATCCAGCCCCTTGCAGCCCATGAATACTATACTTGCTTGAGAACCACTGATATTATTATGCACTTCCTAATTGTTCAAACATCTGAGAAAAAGCAAAACAATAGCAACACCATATACACTAACAAGCTAAAATGTGTAACTGGAAATCAGCTTTCCCAAATTCCCTATTATTTAAGAAGAATTTTTGCTGTGTAAGAAACGGGGCCAACGATAAGCTATAAGCACTAATCATTATGATGGTATGGCCCTGCTAATGCTCTTCCTTTATTCTGAGGAAGATAGCTTTTGATGCAAGAGGTGCTCAGTGAGCACGGTCTTTCAGCACTTCAAGATCAACTTCTGTGGGATCAGTAGCCTGAATCTCATAATGAAAACCATCCAGCTCTCTTCTAAATGCGTCTTTGGAAGTGGCGTAAAGCATTTTTGCACGGATACGAGATGTTGCAGGAGACCTAAGGAAACAAAAGGAATGCACTGAGAATGTTAGGCTGTTACTTTTAGTTCTTTGAAGATGCTGAATTTGCACCTCAATTCAAATGTACTAGCAATGAAGTAGCTTCCATGTCATGAAATGATCAAATACCGTAATCCATAGAAAAACAAACAAACATAGAGGCAGACCAGTCGGCCACATATTTAAAATTTCTCAAATATGCTCCCAAACCTTAGTTTATCTTTATTTCATTTGCTCTTATAAAGAGAGCACCCAAAAGATTTTCAAAACTACTTTGCTAGTGAGGCCTGATCATAACTGATGCTCGTAAAATGAGAGTAAGACATGATCTAAATCTTCCAGCACATACAACCGAACTCATTTTGTATTGGCATTTAGTGGTAAAAATGAGACAAACATATTGGCATTCAAAAGAAATTTCACTGAAATATTAAATACTAACAAGTAACTTGTCCATGAGACAAGATATACCTTAAAAGGTGAAGAAAACTTAACGAATCGCATTATAAGGAATGGAGCCCATGCCATCCAGATAAAAACAACTCATGCAGATAATTTCAGGTTGAAGGCAACATCACATTGCAGAGATCCATTAAATCAACCATTTGAGTGCATTGAGTTCCGCTGTACTCTTTTGCTGTTTGTCAAATTTGTAGTTTAACAATTAGGTTTTGTTAGGACTTGATTGAAAAAAAAAACATCAGATTTACTTGGTCATAAAAGGAGGGGTTAGAGGAGTGAAATTGGAGGAGAAGAGTCAAACGTTGCTTCCCCTCTTTGTCAGAAGTATAAGAGGAAAAGTAAAAGTAGAAATAAAGCTTAAGAATTTGGACAAAAGTGACAGTTCCAATCCCAGAAAGAACGAACTGCTTTGAAATACAAGGATCAAAGTATCTAATTTTCTATGTGAATTCGAACAGAAGTTTATGTCACTAAATATTACATAACAAGTACCACTAAATCACATTACAAAATGCTTAAAATTTGTGATTCAAGAAAAAAATATAGTTCAGTCCTTATATGTTATTATTAGTCATATATAATATAATAGGATAGAAAGATTAAAATATCTCTCTATCACATTTATACCTTTCAACGGACGAAGTTCTACCACGAATTTCTACCTCCTTTATCCTTCACTTCCCCATCTTAGAAGGAAACATACAGGAAAACCAAGCTGGTGTACAACTTGTTTTTGTTTCCAAGACATGAGTTCAAGAAATGTATGGTGCACAGGTAAAATCAGTAAAAGATCAAGCCTAGTGGCAATCATATGCAGATGAAAATAGGCAGAAGGAGCTGGGAACTAACCAATGAACAAAGAAAATCTTGCTCTTTTGGCAATTCTCGGAGGTCACAAAATCAAAGTCATACACCGCATATCGGCAATCATTTTCTGGCAAAGATGCAGTAAAATCATCAAAGTTTTCAGCAGGGCTGCCAGTTTTCTCAACAATAACCTCCTTTTTCTTTTCATCAATCTTGAAAATCACATATCTGTGGACTTTCTTCCTCTTTAGCTCCAAGAATGCATTTTTGCCGTGATCAGCCACACCCATTCCAAAAGAAGCATTTGGCTGAAAATCAAGGAAAAATCCAGCTTAGGTTCAACATGTAACATGGAAAGAGATAGAGAATTTGAGGATTTAACATACCAAAGAAGCAAATAGATTTTAGTTCTTCACTGAAAAACTAAATTTAACTATTCAAAATTTGGCCTTTATCTTTTTTTCCCTGGAATAATGGTGGTACGAGGCCAACTTGCAGGCACCTTGACTATTTCTTTTGTACCTATTATTTTACACCAGCAGAAGTATTAAGTAACTCTCTAAACGTTTGCATATTTCTTGTTCAATTATAATGAATATATTAAGAATAGTGTTACATCCTAGTTGGGTGGTGTAACTTTATAACTTCAGAAGTTGTGCTCTACAGAACCTCATATGGATCAGGGCGTCACTGATTACTAAGGGGCTGCGTTTTCTACAACATAAAGTAGATGCTACCATGGTGCTTAAATCAAAATTATCAACAGAAAATCAAAACCTAAAAACATTTAGCTAATCGAAGTAATTGTTGATAACGTGGAAGTACAAAAATCTCTATAAGCCTTGTGAACATACAAATTCATCAAATACATGGATACACTTAGAGATAGAGACGTACCCCTCTGAATCTGAAAGACATGATTAATGTCTAAAAAAACTGGAGAGCAAAGAAATTGGAGTACCCTTGAGAGAAGATGGGGAATATTGTAAAAGGTGGTGTTGAATGGAGAGGTTATTAAGATAAGAGGAGAAAAAGAAGATACTGCCAAAATGAAGAAAGTAACGTAATAGCAGTATTATTCTCTGTTCTTTTCCCACACTTGTACTTTTTTTTTATAGAGTTGGTCCATTGTTTCTATCCAAAACGCCACCTTCTCAACTCAGGGGCGGTGCGTTGATCGAACGCTTCCCTTACTTTTTGCGATGCCAAACGCCATTTGACCATATTCAAATTGCCTTTTCCTCTAAGCTTTCCGCTGTTTTTTTTTAAAAAAAAATTTTGCATAAGATAAATCCTCTGATACCAAAAGAAATAGGCGGCATAACCCTTGAAATTGATTTTCATCGTATCTTTTTCTAGAGAGAAATTTAGATGGAATACCTCTTGTTAATAGGAGACGATATGTTTGAAGAATTAGAATCCCGCGCTTACGTAATAACAGAGGAAGACATAACTAGTCTATTAGTATTATGTTTATGCTACTACTCCTCTATGTTCTGTTTATAATACAGCTAAATTCACCCGCACTGGAACAAATAAGGCCTCCGAGACATTTAGTGTTATTACTATACTTGTTGAATAATAAAAGGACATCAATTCAAATTAACAGCTACAAAAATTGTAGCTAAATGAAAACAATTCAAATCAATCTTATTTCCAAAGTGTACTCTGGTCAAATTCATCTCCTAAATGATCTCGTTTGTACGATTTTAAGCTAAGATTTTGACACTTGATCATAATAGCACATACCATTTCATTGACAAGTTCGCTGAAAATTTCAAGTTTGGCAGGCTAAAAACCAAAAAAATAAAAGAATTACAAAGTTGGCTCATTTTTCAGCAACAAAGAAAAGAAAGAGCAAAATATTCCCTAGGATACAATCTGTTTATATCAGATGTCCAGAAGGGACTCATCAATACTAAACAAATACAATTCAAGGCAGCCAAATATATTTGTACATGTCAAATTGACCAATGTCATTGTTCCAAATTGATCAAACCTACTCCATTTTTAATCAGAGTCTAAATTACATCAGATCTGGATCATCTTCATAATCGTAGTCCGGTTCACTTGAATGCCTCATTCTCTTTGCATCTCTTGGACCTCCCCTTCCTTTCCTTGGTCTACCTCTGCAGAAATAGCCAAAAATAAGACTACCCTATCATATCCAGAACTTGAAAAATATATTATTGAGTATAAGAGAACAAGCAGTGAAAACTATCTATTTCACTCCTCCAACAACAGTGGTTATAGGATAAAATTCACTACTTACAGTCCATTGGTAGATATCCCTCCAACATCCCGACCAAGAGCTTGTTCCTCAGCCTGAAAATGTGCAATGATGCAACTTTCATATTCTTTGAAATATGGAATCAGCGTATCATGTTGGGTAAAATATGCATTTTGGTGTCATTCCACGACCATCGTGCTCCACTTTGAAGTAGAAGGGGACATGATAGCTCATGGACAGTTTCTCATTTATCTTTTCTACTTTTGGGTCTCTCTCGGACAGAGACAAACAAGGGGTTACAAGGAAAGGTTCCATCAATTGTAATTAAAGGATAGAAGATAGGAAACAGTATGAATTAAAATCCAATAACTCGTGTCAAAACGTCTTCGGAATGCTATTGAGCTGTTAACAAGCTCTGAGACCACTCAAAAAGGTAGGGGTTCCTGCATGGATGGGAGCGTCTAGTTTGTTGCTTGGTATACTCCTATCTCTTTCTTTTTCCACTCTCCTTATATTAACCCAGTCCTTTTCAGCCAAAGACAAGTTCAACTGCCTTTTTTCCCTACTGCTGCTTCTCGCTTAAATGGTTGATAGCATCTACTTCTCTGCTGATTCATTTGAAAATTGATAACTTTTCTGTTTCATTTGTTCCTTCTTCCATTTATGTTATCCTCTCATTTCTTCCCTATCCTTTTTCAGGGTTCTAAAAGGAGAATTTCACATGGAAGTTCAACAGAATGCACTAAGATCCCTAACTTAACAACAGGAATATAAACCAAGAAGGTGTCAAAGTCGAGGTGCTGATCAAAAGAACACCTTGCTACTGTTGCAAATTTACATTAGAAACTCTATCAAGAATTTCTACTTTTATTCAGCTTCAGTAAATCTTTTCGACATTCATATGAGGTGCCCTAATTTGCCTCAGAACTTCTAGACTTTTAAAAGATAGAGACAGGACAGTCAATGGGTTATAATCAATAGCCAACGTACTATATCAAGTTTAAATCTGTACAAGAAACAAAGAGCAACAATTATTTTGTAAAACAGGGAAAAAAGAATATGTTCTTGCAACATGACAGACATAAACTTAGAGACAAACTAAATTTGGATATCACTCACAGAATCTCTGATATGATTCATAATGTATAAGATCGTAATGAAAAGATATAAATCCATCAACAGCATTCCAATGTTCCCATTGCTGAGAAATACAGAAAAATACATACTGCTGGTGAGGTGACAGACGATAAAGAAAAGAGTCTATCTTCAGGTTGAAACTTCCTGGATCGTTTCAAGCTGCAAAGCAGTTAAACAGAAAAAGGGTAAATTCAACAAGAAACATATAGGTGAACCTTAAACTATATCCAGAAGATTGGAAATCTAAAGACACAAAGGGAGATTCAGTAGACTTGTTTTTATAACCGAGAAATCCCTGAGATTTAATCTATTTGTAACATCATCATCATCATATTACCATATGATTACAGTGCAATAAGCTAAAGATGATGCCTTCTATTTCCTGGGAATGCCGGTCTCAATAACAATTCCAAAAACGCTAAAGTAAATGTATATCCTACATGTTCCTCCAACAACCACTAAACAGCTCCCTTTTTCAACTCTTCTCATATTAGTCGTACGAGTCAAGTAAAACAATGAAAATAGGATGGAGGAAAATATTCTTAGTATTGTAGAAATCTCAGTACGATTATATGGGAGGTCCCTCAGGATAGCCTTGTTTAGCTTCTAGAGTCTATTTACTAACTAGAGTCAAGGAATTAGTAGATCTGCTTTGCCCAAAATGGGAACGGGCTAGGGTTAAGAACTCATAATCTAAAGACCTATGATGAATTAGATAGGTTTTACACTTTTCTCAAAGAAAGAGGAAAGGTTGGCAGTTCAGGCTTCAGATGGATTAAAGGATATATTCAACAAGACAGAGCTTCCTCTGAAATAAACATACTTATTTGATTGACGTTATCGGTGGTGTACGGGCTAGCTTGCACGCATTTTCACTGATCCACTGGACAAACTATCCAACCCACAAGCACAGTTTACCAAGGTACTCCCGCCAAAAAAAAGGAGCATATAGGCACACATCAAGTGCTGTAGCTGGAATTCAAACCTGGACCTCCAGGTTCTTATTCTTGTGTTTCAACCACTAGGCCATCATCACGTGGATCTTTTCAGCACAATTAGCCGAATTAAAATGTCAATAACATTGGGTTTATAACAGTGTCTAAGAAGTTCTTTTGTTACTATCATCTTCTAGAATTTATCTCTGATTGCAACTATTGTTATTCTTTTCTTCTAGACCTTTTCACACACTGACTACAAGATTAACTTTCTCCATTACGTCTTCCCTGGGAAAGAAAAGAGAAACTGAAAAGATAGAGGGGGGACAGCAGAACTAAGCCTTTCGACAACGAGTCTCGCAATGGGACAGAACAAAATGTAACTAGCTTAATTACATCATTGATGAGCTTTTCTGCTTTTGCGTGAATATATAAAATCACAATTTACTAAGACAATTCGAAATGCCAAAAGTAAATTGGATTGCACCAGCCTTCTTTGTCCATATCCATCACACTGGCTATCAAAACTTTATCCTATTACTCTGACTTTTGCTCTTCTATTCCATCATCAATCAGTTGTGTAAGTAAATTAAGCATTTGTAAACACGAAAATTGTTCATAGTATCATCAATATAAATGGCAGTATAACTTGTTTTATATAACAGCAAATATATGGAAATACACTATTCTCTTGACAATAGAACTTTTCTTAGGATGGAAATGAAAGGAAAGGAAAGGGGAGAGGAAACAAGATTGTATCATAAATGCGAAAGTAGTCCAATTCTTAGTCTCCATTCGTTCCCCTAACTCTTCCAAATCCTTCCTTCCAAGCATACCACGCTCAAGGAAAGCAATTCACACAAGAAGTGCTAGAGTACTGCAACACCTATATCCAAATGCCTTAAACTAAGTCATTAATGATATATCTAAAAAAACACTATATGAATCAACTAGGTTTTAAATCCAAGCTAGTTGGGCAGGCTATATAAATTATCTGTATCTATTGCTCTAATTATATACTCTATCAATTCTCTCTATTCATACCCAATTCGTCGTAATATTAGACTAAATTCTTTGGCCTCACCCATCCTCAAGGTGAAGCCCTGGTAATACTCCCTCACACACGTGATGCCTAGGACAGGACAGTTTACCTGAAGGATTTAAACAAATAAAAACTTACAAGCTGGTGCTTTTGGACGAAGATAAAAACCCTTCAAAACCTTTGAGTACATTTCCACATTGGCTAGGATCTTGTAGGTAAATAGTCTCCATGTCGTAAACCTACAAAGTCATTTAAGGCATCATTTTGAATCTATCTATACATAAAATAATAAAACCCAGAAATTTCTTTGACCTGTTTTTCGAGGTTTCGGAGATCTTCATGAAGTTTGGCTCTTTTGGACAAAAGAGCAGCGAGCACTGCCGATGGATTGGAGGATGTTCGTTGCCCTAAAATGGATTATGGGACAAACATATTTTTTGAAGATACTGTAAAAACAAAATTAAGAGAAAGAAGATAAAAGGGTAGAGCCGAGGGTTTACCTTCGGCTTCCATTGAAATGAAATTTTGAGGGAGATCAAGAAACTGTTTATATATAGGTTTCTGGTAGCAGCGCTGGCACCTTCTGAACACTCCTCCGATCTTGGACAAAAAGGAGTCTCTTTTCTTCGACGTTGACGTTTCGGTCGTCCGGGTGGGTTCAGTTTTTTCCGTATAATGTAAAATATTTTTTGATGTTTAATTGTTGAGATAAAATATTTTAAAAAAAAATTATATCT